AAACCCGAATATGGTTAAACCTGAATGTTTCTAGTTCTAGGTCTAGTGTTACTTCCAGTGGCAGTGCAAGTGTAAAACTAGAACTAACAGTATACCTAGAACTAGAAACATTTGGATTTAGCCGCACGTCTCTAAAGACGGCTAAACCCGAATGATTCTAGTTCCAGGTATAGTGTTAGTTTTACGTAGTAACAATGCTAGTGTAAAACTAGAACTAACACTAGACCGGGAACTAGAAACATTCGGATTTAGCCGCACGTCTCTCAAGACGGCTAAACCCGAATGATTCTAGTTCTAGGTCTTGTGTTGGTTCTAGTAACAGTGCTAGTGTAAAACTAGAACTAACACTAGACCTAGAACTAGAAACATTCAGGTTCAGCCATGCGCCTTTCAAGACGAGTAAACCCGAATGTTTCTAGTTCTAGGTCTAGCGTTAGTTCTGCTTTCAATTCAATACAAATATATAACAACCCAATACTGAATGACAACTAAAACTAGAACTAACACTAGAGATAGAACTAGAAAGTTCCGAATGTTTCTAGGTCTAGTGTTAGTTCTAGTTTTACACTAGCACTATCACTAGAACCAACACAAGACCTAGAACTAGAATCATTCGGGTTTAGCCGTCTTTAGAGACATGCGGCTAAATCCAAATGTTTCTAGGTCTAGTGTTAGTTCTAGTTTTACACTAGCACTATCACTAGAACTATTGAACTGAAAATAAAACTAACTAGGAACATTCGGGTTTACACGTCTTTAAAGACGCATTGCTAAATCCGAATGTTTCTAATTCTAGGTCTAGTGTTAATTCCACTTTTATCTTAATGAAAATATACAGCAACCTGGCGCTACTTGGATATACAAGAAACTACTTTTTAAATTAATTTCATTACCAGTCATAATAATTTTCATAACATCAATTTGCAATTCAAAAACATGTCTTTGTACATATTGTAAGAAAATGTCATATTCTAGTGTTCTGTAACCCAGAAATGTAAAAAACGATGTAAATCCCAAAGGTAGTGGAAAAGCAATCGATTCAATAGCCAAACAATATTGTTCTAGAGTTGTAAAAAGAATAAAACGTAATTCTTCCGGAAGTTGATCACTAAAAAATTTTTAAACAACTTTTAAATTATTTATTATTTTAGTTAAATTTCTCACATAAATAAAAATCCTTTTTCTTCGGTACATAAAGCTTTAACGCATGCTTTACATAAAATTTGACAAAGATTTCGAGATTGTTCGAGTTGAGCACCAACATATCTTGTAGCTACTGCGTGAACATGCATTGGAGTTTGTGATTGCCATTGGAACCGGCTTATTTTATTATCCGTTGATTGTTTAAGTAAATGCATACTTAATTCGCGCAAATTCTACAAAAAGAAAATTAATATTCTACAAAAAAATCTTTAAAACCGCATTACAACTGAAATAATATGTTCTTGTTTACTTGCTGTACAACTTTCAACTTCATAAAATGGTAAAGAACCCACAGGATTTTTTATTGAAGCTATATCTTTAGGTAAATTGGTTAAGTTGCTTGAAGGAATCGGCGACATTGGTGTTGTTGATCTAGATAAAGCTTCAGGCTAAAAATAACTTTTCAACATATACCTTCTTTTATAATTCAACCTTACTTGATAACAAACTAAAGATACAAGTAACTTTTCAGCAACTTGAGCAGGCCGAAACTTTTGTTTTGATTTGGCATTTTTCAATAGTCTTTCCCACAATTTAACCCAAATATCAACTCTATAAGGAACGACTCTTTGCTGCGGCGATAGCAACATCATTGAAGCGTTCCATAGAGCATCTTGAGAGATACAAACTCTAACTTTTTCGTTAACTTCAACTTCCACATCGCAACCAGTCGCTTGAGTTGTAACCGGAAGTAACTCAATTAATTGGTTGGCATCACTTGGTAAAGTACGACAAACGGAGGCGTAACAATTACCAATTAAAAATTCTTTAAAAATTTGCGGTGTTCCTACAATAATTTGTTGTTCGATATAAAACTGTACCAATTCGACGACCGCTTCAGCTTCATTTCGGTGAACTATTAAATAATGCAAAATTGATAAACGATTTTCCAGGGAATTTATTGATTTAAAAGTATCGACTAGTTCTTTTGTGGGTAGGTGAAAATCGATTATGTCTAAAGTTGGCACGTTCAATGCAAAATTAGAATCACCTAAACCTCTTATTGTGGTCAAGGAGATTTTATTTAAATCCATACTCGGAGTGTTGTTATCGTTTAAAACTATGTGGCAACATGGTTCGTGAAGAAATCCAATGTCTAAAAGATGTATACAAAGACTTGGAATTGATACTAACATGTGATCACCTTAAAAAATTAAACAAATTCATTAGTATTGGTAAATTAATGTTGTAGTAATTATTAACCATAAAACATAAATAAAGGTCTTATGCATTTAGCTTGTTTCCAAGGAATTCCTGGTATAACACAATGAATTATACATCCGTGGTGAAGAACTGTTACTGAATAAGCAAAATTAACCGGACATTCATCTTCATCTTCAAGTTTATAAGAAGATTTAACAGGCTGAAAAAAAAACAGAAGTTAAATACCTAGGGGTAATACTAAGCAGTATATTAAACTGGAACTCCCATATAGACAAGGTGAGGAAAAAGCCTATGCCTCACTGGTTTGGTGGCCAAAAACAAATCATAAGACAGCACAACAACAGCTGGCACAAATCCAGGGGTTAGCATGTCTTAATATAACGGGTGCAATGAAATCTTGCCGTCGGACAACGCACTTGAAGCCCTACTCGGTCTCACACCACTTCATTTATATATACAACAGGTGGCAACTTTCACTGAAAACAAGCTGTTCACTTAAGCTGATGCAGAGTAACCTCAGAGGACACCTCGAAATTCTCAAGGACCCATGTCTAAATCACTTGATTGAAATTAAAACGGATAATGAGGTCATATTTAGAAGCAGGGATGATTGGCCTTAACTAAAAAGAGGAGCCCTTGCTTGCTACAGGGATGTTTCAAAGACAGTTGGATCCGGAGTAGACATGGGGTATAGCAAATACTTCAAGCAAAAGTATTTGCTATAAATTTCTGCACTGGTTCGTTCTGCACCGTTCTAAGGCAATTCAGGCCTACACGTGTGTCTCCGCACTGACCAGAGAGTGTACCAGCAACCTAAGAAAACTCGCCAGGGGGAATGTTGTTACTCTATGTAGGTTCCAGGTCACAAAGACATTGAGGGCAATGAAAATGCGGACAAGCTGGTCAAAGAGGCAGCGAAAACGCCTTTTATTGGACCCCAACCCGGATGTGGACTACAAAAAAACCACCTAACACAAGTAATCAACAGTTGGGAAGCCTCAAAGGTAGCCTTACGCTGGAAAGAACTTCCAAAGAGGAATTTAAGGACGTTCTCAGATTTTCTGAGCAGCCATGCGCCCCTAAAATACCACCTCTTCCACATTGGACAAGCTGAGGATCAAACTTGTCGACTTTGCAACGACGAGTCAAAACCGGCTGAACATATACTGTGTAATTGCGTCACCAGAGGCTGCCTAAGACACAAAATTTTCGGTAAAGCTCTTTTGACACCTACCGACATAAAATAACAAGACCTTTGAGCAATACTAAGGACCTAAATTTGCTCTAAACTTAGGTTACAATGGATCTCATCCATAAATCTCTATATAAAGCTCTCTACTTTTACCTGGTATAAATAATGATGACAAACACAGACTCCTCCATCCGGATCTGTTAAAACAATTAAATCCAATGAACAATTATGAATACGCAAAGGAACGGTGTCATCTTCATACAAATTACAAGTTGTTTCAGCAAATGATAAATGTGGTAAATTTAACGGTATATTCAACTTAAAAAAAGAAATGAATTAAAAAAAGTTAAATCTAAGAATTAACTTCTTACAACTGATTCGTATGGTAAATCATCATGGAATTGCATCCCAGATAAAGTTGGTGATGTATTACTATTTTGACTACAAACATGAAAATCTGAATCTTCCCCATCAACAAAACTTCTTATAGGTTTTCTATGATGAATGTAATAAAGCGTTTGATGAACGGCGTCCCATTGGGCCCATAAAAAAATTTTAACCATCGTCTCAACATGAAATTTATCTGGATTTAATACCATTTTGATGATTTCGTTTGTTAAAGTATACTGCATTATACATTCTTCATGAATAAAAACTAATAACTTTTCCGTGGGATTCTCATTTAGAATCGATCTTTTGTAATATAAAAATTGTATCATAACTTGCTTGGTTCTTTCGATTTTTAAATCGCAGCTTGGTTCTTCGCAGTTTTCCCCGATTTTAACCAAAAATGGACGATAAACAACCTCGTCGTCTTCTTTGGTAGTTTTTATTACATACCCTAATAGTGTATGATCGGTGTTTATGGTTGCTTGAATAACATTTTCGATTTTGGGTAAAGAAAAGATTTTTTTGAACACATTTTCTGCGCATTTATATGTTCCTATGTGAGTTGATGGGGGTAAATTTTCACCTTTCTCAACCCAACTAAAAAGAATTACACTGTCCTTTTCTTGTCCTAATAATCTCCATTCGTTTATTTCATGTTCTGTTAATAAATAATAAATAAGTTTAAATTTAGCGGGTTTATTATAGTTCTGTTTATTATGGTAGATGGCGCTTACAAAAATCAATAAATCTATTTTTCTAAATTTCTTAATTAAATTAATTTTAGAGCACCTTATTATTATTACAAACAAAAAATGAGCTTAATAGTTAATGTAGGAGCATAAATATTTAATGATTTGCTTTTATATCGTTAATTTAAACGTAATCGATGTCAAAACGTTATCTTAATAAAACGAGATTATCGAGTTCAAAACACAAATGAACCTTAAAAATATACCTTTAATGCCTTCGTTTATCACAAGCGGGTATAATTTCCCCACTATATTATCCACAATCACCATTTTTTGTTATTCTTTTACAAATAAGACGAGTTTTAGTTCGTCTCTCTCTCAATCTAACCAGCTCATTTAGATACAGTGAACATTTAGTGCAGCATCCACGAAATGATACACTTTAAACTGATAATGATAAAATACATTAAAAAGTGTTTTTGCATTGCGTGGATTTAATGCAAGTTTTAAATTTTGTCTTATCATTTCAAGGATATTATTTTTACACTAAAACTAATTTAGTTTTGTAGTTGATTTATTAAACATTATAATAACATTGCTTAACTACGCTATAAATAGAGCAAATTCGAATCTGGTTTGATACATAAAAGAGATGTATTTAAAACCCAAGAATTGCATAATTTTTAAAGCTAGCACAAAAATAGATGTTCCCAATAAACCCAGGTATATTTAAAGCCTCAAGTAACAATAAATTGTTAAGAAATAAATCGATTAAAGCAAAATAATTAAAGTATTATTAATTTTTTTGATATTATTGTGTATTTCCCGCAATTTTTTTTAAATTCAAAAAGTCAACATGAAGTTAGTTTTTAATTTCGATTATTTGTTGTGGAAAACCGTAGTGAATATAGATACGATAGATAGTCTGAAACACAATGGGAAAATTGATGTAATGCCCGTCTGCTTTGTTATGGCCTCCGAATGGTCCGCAAAACACAAAACGCAAAATCGCCGAAAAAGTCGAGAAAGAACGACGCGGACAACCAGGGTAGACATTTAATGTTCACGTCCTACACGGACACGACGTCAGTTCATAAACGAAACTTATGCATCGTCTCATTCCCGATTATATTCTTATTCAACGTACTTCGATCGCTCCTCTACCAAGTATTCGTCATACTACGTTTTATTTACTGCAGTTCATCCAATTATTTGGTCAAGTACAAGAAAGGCAACGAGGTCGCGATAAATCGACTTGAAAATGTTGAAGGTGAAGGTGTTATTGTAGCAGCAGAAGAAGATATGGCTCAAGCTCAACAAAGAAACTCTGGGCCTGGTCCTGGAGATCCTTTACTTGCTAAACAAAAACATCATCACCGGAGAGCTTTTGAGTATATTTCTAAAGCACTTAAAATTGATGAAGAAAATGAAGGTAATTTCAAAAATTTTATTTTTACAAAAAAGGTTATAGCAATGAATCATTTTAAATTTAATCTATTCATAGATTTTGTTTATCACAGGTGGGTTTCAAGTATGATACATGCTAGAAGTATTAGAAAGTGATTTATAAGAAAATTATTTAAATTTTATTCTTTTCAAGGTCAAAAAGATTTGGCAATTGAACTTTATCGGAAAGGAATCACAGAATTGGAACTTGGAATTGCTGTTCAATGTTGGGGTGGACGTGGAGAGGTATGGGAAAGAGCACAACGTCTACACGAAAAAATGAAAAGTAATCTTGCCATGGCAAAAGATAGGTTACAATTTTTAGGTAATTCATTTTAATCCTTTCCAATATATGGTCCACCATAGAAAATGCATGATTTTGAAATAATTATTATCAGCAACAAGAAGGATGAATTATGATTTAAATCAATATTATTATAACTGCACAAAACAATATACAGGGAGCTCATTTGCAATTGATTAAGCCAAATATGCCTTATACAAAGTTGAATAGTTTAGGAATTATTTTAATTTTTTTGGTTTTTGTACATTTTCAGTATATTCTCCTACAAATTTTGGAATTTAGAGTTTAATAATAGTTTCTTTGGCATCATATTGACTTATCTGGATAGGCTACAGTTTAATATTTTAATATTTTAAATATTTCGATTGTTTAAAAATAATAAATAATTTTAATAATACATTTAGCTTACAAATTATGTTAAAAACTTCTCTGTTTTGTAGCCTTTCAAATGAGATATTAAGCAGGGTAAATGTCTTTCCAATTAGCTAATAATAAGATAAGCGAATGTATAATTTTGACAACTAACTCAAAGTTAAAAAAATTCAAAATCTATTACACCTACTATTTATTTTAGTAAATAGAAACTAAAAACGTTAATTCCTGATTACAATAAATCCTGAAGTTGACATTCAATTCATTAATAGCTATCAATCATTGACTAAACAAATAATTTATAGGATAACAATTGGAGTATACAATTTGTATAGCTAAAAAGTTAGCCAAAAGGTTAATAATATATAACCTTCATTGAAAAAACCATAAAAATTAAGCAATTTTATGTATCACATTAACATCAACAAAAACAAGTAACCAAAGTTAAGTAACGCATTGTCTAATTCTGTCTAAAAAGAATTCATAACTACAAGTCCACTTCAAAACCTGTACAAGCTCTTTTCCTGTTATCTTACTTGTAATTAACGTGTTTAAAACATGCTCGTTTTGGATTTTTTCTATTAATTCATCTTTAGAGTTGACTTGTGTTGCATACACTCTTCCTTTCATGTGGCCCCACACATAAAAATCAATGGGCGTCAAATCAGGACTCGTTGCAGGCCATGAAATTGCTCCTCCACTTCAAATCCAATGATTAAGAAATGTTTCATTATTGAATTTCGAACATTTTTGGAATGGTGTGCAGGGCACTCATCATGCTAGAAAACCATATTACATCTGAGTACGAAGAATTTTACGGCCGGTGTTAATTAAACTAAAACTAGACCTAGAAACTTTCGGGTTAAGCCGTGCGTTTTTTGAAAAAATGTTTGACGTTTTGGATGCCATGTTGCAACCTTCTACAGAAACAAGTTCGAAGTGACGAATTCGGTTAAAATTTGACAATAAATACATTAGGTAATTAATAACTAATTAGAGTCTAATTGCCAACTAAGTTATTTTTATCAATTCCGGGTGGAGAAGGTTTGTTGAGTTCACTAGCATCTTCCATGTGCTGACTTTCCAACCATCTTCTCTATTCATGTTATTCCCATGTCGATGAATCTCTATCGCATCTCTCGTCAATCTTTGGAAGTAATGTCAGTTTCTTGCTAGCACTTTGGTTTTGTCGAACTCTATGATGTGTCCTCCTTTGTGGTAATGCTTTGCGATCGCAGATTGTTGGATCTTCCTTAGTCGAACGTCCCTCTCGTGTTTCTTGATGCGGCACTCGAGTTACGTCCAGTTTGTCCAACGTAATATTTTCAACGTAATATTATCCCTTTAATGGGGTTAGTTTGTCTTTGGCTGTCGGAAGAGCGTTTTGTATTTTGCTGACCGTACCGTATCGTACCACGATATCATTCTTCAGACGCTTCGCAATTCGCTCCATCACACCTGAAACATAAGGAAGGCACATAAAACCGGCTGATGCCGTACTTACCGAGTCATCCTTCTGTTTGCGTGGTTTGGTGGCTCGGATATCTCTCATCGTATCCGTTCTTTTGCAGCACATCTTCTAGGAATTTTTCTTCTTTTCTTAGGTTCTCTTTATCGCATATCTTCTCTGCTCGCTGGAATAAGGCTTTAATTACGTACTTCTTCTGTTGTGGGTGGTGGTGGGATGAAGCCTGCAGCTACCTATTCGTATGCGTCTTCTTTCGATATACTCCCAGTTCCATGCCCCCATATGTCTTCCTAGTGACTAACACATCCAGGAATGGCAACTGTTTTGCAGTTTCTGTTTCCATGGTAAATTTAATCATGGGGTGCTGTGAATTGAGGTGGTCTAGATATTCCTGGAGTTGCTCTTTTCCATGTTGCCAGATCACGAAAGTGTCATCGACGTAACGGAGACATAGCTTCGGTTTCCAAGGACTCTTCTTTAACGCTTCCTCTTCAAACATCTCCATGTAAATATTGGCTATCACAGGAGACAGAGGTGATCCCATGGCTGCCCCTTCGCGTTGCTCGTGAATTCCCCCTTCCAGCTGAAATATGTCGACGATAGGCAGTACTCCAGCTTACCAGCATATCCTGAGAGTCTAACTTCATACTCCTAATTGATTCTACAAAATGTGTGGAATCTCTGACATCTGACTCTGTTTTACCTGTAAAATTAGACAGAATCTTGGAAAGTTGTTTTGCTAGCTGATAGGTGGGAGAATTTATGGCACTGATAGTAGGGCGTAGTAGGACGTCTGGTTTATGGATTTTGGGTAATCCATATATCCTTGGTGGTACTGGAGCCTGTACGAATAAGCTATATAAGCATATTTCTAACGATATAGTAGAAACCACGAGAGCTGGCGGTGACAGATCGCTTAAAAATGGTATGAATCAAGATATGGACGTACGACTTAGATTATTTCACCACATACATTTAAATGTAGGTTATGTTAGTAATGGAGGTTATATGTTAAACATTGTCAAAGATATTATTTAATCATTTTCCTTTCAAAGAAAACATTTTCGGCTTGTGAAAACACTAACAGATTCCTGACAACGCTCACAAGACGTTTCGATTTGAGGTTATAATTATAGAGTGACATCCCTTAGAAGAACAGACGTACTTTTTCGACGTGGCCATTTGAATTATACAGCAGACATATTAAACTAATGCTATCTCTTTCCAACACACATTACTCTCTAGCGGTTTGTGAATTTTAATTTACTACGTATGGCATTTGTAAGAGCGGAAAATGATGATTTACTGCCAGCTCTCTTGGCGTCTACTATACATGGTTTTTCTTAAGCAGGTCTATTAAATTGTTGTAAAAATTCATTTTATGGTGTGTTAGTTAAACGATTCGATAAAAAATAAGGACCACCTCAAAATTTTCTTTGATTGTTTATTTCCCTCGTTAGATGCGAATTTTCGTCAGTACAATAATGTAAATTATGAAGATTTGTTATACTTTTTCTATTAAACGTGTATTTATCTGTCCACAAAATTCTTTTCAAGAAATATCCATCTTCAATTTCAGCATTTAAAAGGAAACTACAAAATTGAATCCTTCATTATATTATTATTGCCTTCTTCAAGTGCTTGGACAGGAGTATAGTGGTATGGATGGTTGCCCATTTGTCGAAGAGTTGACCATATTTTTTAAATTACCAGTCTTTCGACGAGCTGCTACCGCGTTTCCATCACGGAAACCATAAATGTATAATATTGCAGCATATTCAACACTTGTAAACGATGACATTTTACGCAAAAATTAAATTCAAACAAAAAAAAGTACTAATAAAAGACGAAATGTGTTGCTACCACTGGCTAAATGTAAAACATTTATATAATTGATGATTTATAATTATTAACGAATTGAATTTCATTTATTGTGTTCATGAATTAACGTTTTTTAATTCCTATAAGTTAAAATAAATACTAGGCGTAATCAATTTTGAACTTTTTTAACTTTGGGAAAGTTGTCAATATTATGCACATGCCTATCCTTACCTTATTATTAGCTAATTGTAAAGACATTTAGCCTTGGTTAATACCTCATTTGAAAGGTTATAAAACAGAGAAATGTTTAACATAATTTGTACGCCAAATGTATTATTGAAATTTTGAAATAGACGCTCAAAAAATTTGTTTGTTTAAAAATTAACTTAAGTCACGAAACGTCTTTTCTAAATGTGTATTAGAGTGTAGCCTATCCATAGATGTTGCCAAAGAAACTATGATTAAACTCTAAATTCCAATATTTGTAGGAGTATAAAGTAAAAATGTATAAACATCAAAAAATTGAAAGAATTGCTAAACTATTAAACTTTGTATAAGTAAGGCATATTTGGCTTAAACAAGTGCAAATGAGCTATATTTCAATAAATACGTTTATGTCACCTTGTATTGGAATTTACAATACTATCCATCCTATTTGAAAAGGATATAACATTTCTTAATTAAAATTTTTATTAAGAAATTTAATTCAGAAAAAGTCCTTTTTAGACCTTACATGTGAATTCAAACAAAATATTTACTCAACTTGATGCTAATTTCAAATCTACGCATTTCATATGGCGAACCTTGTAGAAAATAAACATGTTTTTATTGTGTAAGTTGTTTCTGCACCACCATTATTTCTTATTTGTTAAAATTTCTATTATTAAAATATGTATTGTTTCCCCCCTTTGTTTTTATTGTTTCAAATTCTATTTTTTTGTAGAGAATATAAAGGCTGTGGAAACTCTGGCTGTGCACACGGAACCCAAACCCGAGCCACCCAAATACGTTAGTTGCAATAGTTTTATTCCTACCCTCAAAAATCCTCAATATCCAACGACAGGTATAATAAAATTTTCATGTTCTTCTATTCTTTTAGTTAAATTTGCGCTTTCACTTTTCGTATTTATTTCGCACTGCATGAACTTTTTTTTTGCAAATTTTTGCTTCAAATTTAAGCTAAAATAATTGTATTTTTGTAGCATCTGGAAAAAAATTAACTGTAGCCGCAAAACGTCCAGTAAATTCAACGTTATCGAAAAGCCAAACATTGCCAAGATCAATGGGTTCGCGTACAACCCCAGTCCAACCCGTTCGTCCTTTTAATAAACTTTCTTCAACACCACCAGCTATTAAAAAACAACTTTCAATGCCAGGCGGTAGTAATTCACCTGCAAGAAAAGCCATAACATCAGGTAATAACACATAATAGTATATTAAAAAACTAGTTTCGTAAGACACGCTTGAAATGCATGAAGTAAGTTGAAAAACGAGTGGCGAAGCCACGAGTTTTTTAATGAATGAGTGCTTTAAGTCTTATGAAACGTGTTTTTTATGCTATTTTTTGTAATTCGCGTTTTTATCCTTTTTTTTTTTCAAAAATAAAATAAATTTTGACAATATAGGGAAATAGGTATGTAGCAGTTGGTAACACTTGAAAATAGAAATTTGAATTGACAATTAGAAACTGTCAAAACACAAAATGTATTCACCTGACAAAAATGTTTCATGTACACCTCCCAAAATAAGAGAAATTGCTCAGAGTTCAATTTCCTCATCATTGTGGACCTTGTATTCGATGCTAAGAACGTGTTTAAACATCCATAGACAAAAATTGTCACATTGACAACTAGAAAAATTAATGACAATGTCACCAACTTGAACTGGTTCCATAAAATGTTACTAAAATCTCATTACAGCATCGGATGCTGTAAGGACTTTCATTACAGCACCCGTTTGAGTACTGTTAGAGCTTTCGTTAATTTCGCGAATTACAAAAAATGTTTTAAAAACATCCTTAATTTTTTTTTGTTTTTAATTAGGTGCTAAAACAACGGGAGCTCGTAAATCCCCAGTTAATTTAAGAGGTGTTGACGCAAAATTAGCACAATGTATCTTAGACGAGATTGTAGAAGGTGGTCAAGCAATTCAATGGGATGATATTGTCGGTCAAGATACAGCAAAACAAGCTTTACAAGAAATGGTTATTTTGCCATCGTTACGTCCTGAATTATTTACGGGTCTTCGATCGCCCGCGCGAGGTTTATTACTTTTCGGACCACCCGGAAACGGAAAAACATTATTAGCTCGCGCCGTAGCGACTGAATGTCAAGCGACATTCTTTTCGATAAGCGCTGCGAGTTTAACATCAAAATACCTCGGCGAAGGCGAAAAATTAGTTAGGGCGCTTTTCGTCATCGCCAGGGAACTCCAACCATCGATAATTTTCATCGACGAAGTGGATTCGTTACTTTCCGAACGGTCCACAAACGAACACGAAGCAAGTCGACGATTAAAAACGGAGTTTTTGGTTGAATTTGATGGGTTACCAAGTAATCCGGAAAATGAGAAAGTTATCGTCATGGCAGCTACAAATCGACCTCAAGAATTAGATGAAGCTGCTTTGAGAAGATTTCCAAAGAGGGTTTATGTTATGTTACCCGATTTGGACACGAGAATTCAACTTTTAAAAAAATTACTTGCCAAACAGGGATGTTCTTTTAGTTCTAATGAACTGAAAAGGCTTGCGACGCTTACTGAAGGTTATTCGGGAAGTGATCTTACTGCTCTTGCTAAAGATGCTGCACTTGGACCAATAAGAGGTATATTATTTTTTTAAATTGTTTTTGTGTCAATTTTAATCCTCTTTTTAATTCCAATTCCTCTTCTAATAAACAATTACCTCATTTTTTTTTGTTTGATCGAAATTATTTTGGTGTTGGAGTTAGGGATGCAAACGATACATCGATTTTTCGAAAACATCGATGTATCGTCCATAAACATCGATGTTTTAATAGCGATGTTGAAGTCCATAAAACATCGATACATCGTTCATTATGAACGATATTTTATCTTCGATGTTTGATAAAATAATCGACCATTATTTCCATGTTTGTATAAAAGAGCAATGAAATAAAGAGCAACTCCAGTGTCTAACGAACGATTATTCACAGAAGTTGGCGCAACAATTAATCAGGAAAGGAATCGCTTATTAGGCGCCAGGTTGTCAAAGTTAAGGTTTTTGAATTCTATACTTAAAAATAAATTTAAATAACATTATCTATATGTTTTATCATATTATAATAAATGGACCGCGTTATACATCACTTGACTAAGCGACACTTTATCGTTTTTAGAGATTTTCATGCTGTTACCAGACATTAAGGACAGTAAAGGTGTAACATCTTAGAAAAAATACAGAATACCGAGAGAAATAAATTACTATTTGTTTTAAAGGATAAAACTAAGCGCCAATTACGCTATACGATTTCAAGTCCGATTTGCATCAAGAAATTCTACAATAGAAAAAATAGATGAACCTACAATTTCGAGTCAGTGTCGTTTTATAGATGTTAGTATAAAATTGAAAGTTTGTCTTTTATTTTATATAGAATTTAAGTCTAACAAGTTTCGGTCCTTAGCCATCTTCAGAGACTCCACAAATAGATTAACATCTCTCATCTTATCCATTTTACAAACGACAGCGGAAGGTAGCGCTAGTTATTTTTATTGCACTAAAACTAGAACTAACACAAGATCTAGAACTAGAATCATTCGGGTTTAACCGTCTTGAGAGACGTGGAACTAAATCCGAATGTTTCTAGTTCACAGCCTAGTGTTAGTGGTTCTAGTGGCAGTGGTAGGTAGCGCTAGTTAGCATAAGATATTACTATGTTGTATATTTTTATTGAACTAAAACTAGAAACATTCGGGTTTAGTCGTGAAAAAAACTTTCAGTTGTCAATGTCAACTTTAATTTTATTATTACCTTTAAAGTGAGTACAAACTTGCCACATTTATCTCAAAAAACCAAAAAATTTTTAATTTTGACATAATTGTCAACTTCATAAAAAATCCTTTAAAATGAGTCCAAACTCGACTTTTTAACTTTAATATTAATGGAAATGTAATCACTTCCGGTTTGAAACGTCAACGTCAATTTTGACATATTTGTCATCTTCATTAAAAAACCTTTAAAATGAGTCCAAAGATGACGCACTTATTTCAAAAAAGTTTGAATAAAAAACATTAAACCCTAAGTTAGCAATAATGAAGATAGCAATTTAATTTTGAAATATTAATACCAACCTTAATTTTTGTTTTTTTTGTTATATTTTTGTTTTTGTGCCAAATATTAAGACATTTTATAATAATTAACCGTATCATGTTTGGACCCACTTTAAATGATTTTTCACGACGAATACAAATATGTCAAAATTGACGTTGACATTCTTAACCGGAAGTTGACCATAACTTTATTAATATTGAAGATAAATATGTCGTGTTTGTACTCATTTTAAAGGATTTTTAATGAAGATTACATATTTGTCAACTTTATAAAAAATACTTTAAAATGAGTCCAAACTGGACATATTTAACTTTAATATTAATGGAAATGTAATCACTTCCGGTTTGAAACGTCAACGTCAATTTTGACATATTTGTTATCTTCATTAATAAACCTTTAAAATGAGTCCAAAGATGACGCACTTATCTCAAAAAACAAAAAAGTTAGAATAAAAAAGATTAAACCCTAAGTTAGCAACAATGAAGATAGCAATTTAATTTTTAAATATTAATACCAACCTTAATTTTTTATTTTTTTTATTATACTTTTATTTTTGTGACAAATATTAAAAAAGACATTTTATAAAAATTATGAATATGTCAAAATGACATTGACATTTCCAAGCGGAAGTTGCTTATATCTCGATTAATATTGGAATTAAATATAACATGTTTGGATTCATTTTAAAGATTTTTTCACGACGATTACAAATATGTCAAAATTGACATTCTTAACCGGAAGTTGACCATAACTTCATTAATATTGAAGATAAGTATGTCGTGTTTGCACTCATTTTAAAGGATTTTTAATGAACATTACAAACATGTTAAAAGTGAGGTTGACATTTTAAACCTGAAGTTAATTATCATGTAATAGAAGTTTTATAACTGAAGTTAGTCATTTTTAACGTGTTTTTTTGAGTCATTTCACAATGATTAAAAAAACTCGTCGATTTTTAAACCACATGATGATTCTTGAATTTTTCTTTCGTTAAAAAAGAGCGTTCTTAAATTTTAATCTGTAAACTTGTAACACTTCGTCCTTAGTTTCATTTTACAACTTTTTAAACTTTAATTTTGTAAATTAGTAACTAATAATCTGATTTCGACTTTAATACGTGATCTTTTTTAACAGAAATATTAAGAAACTTGTTTGTAAAATGGATAAGATGAGAGATGTTAATCTATTTGTAGAGTCTCTGAAGATGGTCAAGGGCCGAAACTGGTTAGACTTAGATTCTATATAAAATAAAAACCAGTTTAAAAGTACAAAATCAAACTCTAGATTATTTTCTTCAAAAATTTTTACACAAATCGTCATCAATTAGTCAAGTGATGCAGAACGCGGTTCAAATATTATTGATTATTATGATAATTCTTATAATAAAAATTCAGCCACTGAATTTTTTTTTTCGATGTTCTAATATCGATGTTTTTATGAGCGATGTTGCATCCCTAGTTGGAGTAGTGATATGACTAGATTTCCTAATCATTTTTGTGTCCCTCATCACATTTTCATTCTTTATGGCCCATTTTGTATAAATCTATAAATAGTTCGTTTAGATTTGAATTTATGGGGCTTATTTTTTTATTATAGAGCTTCAACCCGAACAAGTAAAACATATGGATCCAGGAGCTGTTCGTGGTATAACATTAAACGATTTTTTGGATTCATTAAAAAGGATACGTCGTAGCGTTTCCCCTCAAAGTTTGGTCGGGTACGAAAAATGGTCGCTACAATACGGAGATGTGTCCATATAATAATAAGATTTAAGAAGTTGTTCTTGAAGCAAATTTTTTGTTTTTAAACATTCCTATAAGTGATAGACTGGAACTTTTTTTACTTTCCGCGTTTCCAAAATAGACGCTTCTTTTCTTGTTATTAGGTTTTTCCCAGTTAAATTAACGAGTTTGTTATGTTTAATGCGTATTAGAATCACAATTAATTGTTGGTTGTTTTTTATTTTCAATTTAATTTTAGCTTAAATGTTCGCGTAGCGCAAATAGTATTAATAATGGACTTATACGGTTAGAAAAGAATTGAATGATGCAATACTCTAGTGTTTTATGTTTTATTTCTATTTTTTAAACGTATTAGAGTGTGTGTTGAATTTTTGAACATTTTATGTTTACAACGTTTGTGATTTAATTTTCTTCTCACATATTTATTAACGTAAATTATTGCTATTACCGACGTTATTCGTTAGTATTTTTTTGTAATGTGATGTAACAACCGTATTTTAATACACTACAAAATTTGATTTCATATTTAAAAAGCGTTTGGGCGTTTTTATATTTTTATTACATTCTCATTACAGTTGTACAACAAATTTTATAAAGAAAAAAATGTTTTACTAAAAATACGCCATATATGATATAATTATTGGTATCTTTTTTGGATAATCTCTCTGGATTTTGGTAAATGACAAGCGGAAACGTTGTGAACCACATCCGCGGAATCTGCTAAACTTAAGTGTATGTTTAATTTCTCTTTTACTTCCTCTTTGTTAAGGACTAATTGGAGACTGTCGATAACATCGCTTACTTGTTCTTGTTCAACACATCTGGAAAGCACAAAAAATTAATAAACATGTTTTTTTTTTCTGTAATTAAAACTAGTTAAGTCTTATTTTAGTATTGAAACTATCAAAATACTTACAGTGGACATGGATTAGATGCTATAAATTCTTCAATTGCATTACTTTGATCATATTTGATTTTATCCTCTTTAATAATAAATTCTTTCACTTTTTTTTTATCAGTCTTCTCTTTGTAATAAGCAGCCATTATTAATTCAGTTACTTTCTTTTCTAACGTTTCCAAGTATAGAAGAACGTTGTAATTGGTTATACTTGCGTTGTTACCTATTAAAAATTATTTGCGTGATTTTTATGTTATACACTGTTGGAAATAATTCACGAGCACACCCTATATAATCTGAACGCGTGTATCTAACGCAATAAAATTTGGTATGGAAGTAATACTAAAGTAGTGTAACTTACTCTCACATGGAGAGCGGCACAACTCTGCTGGGAGGAGAAACATTAATAGCGAGAGTATCCCCCGTGAGCTTCGCGTACCATCGCAACACGACGTGGCATGGAGTCTATAAGTCGCTGTATTGTAGCGAGAGGGATGGCCAACCATGCCACCTCAACTACCCAAGCGACCGATTACGGGAGAATAAGGAAGGAAGGAAGCAAGGAGTTTGCTGTTTTGAGTTAAACCTTTTCTTTTCCTTTTTTTTTGTTATTTTTTCTCGTTATGTCAAGTACATATGCAGTTGCACATTTGAATTGTAGATCATTGTTTCCCAGCATCGACGAAGTTAGAAACATATTAAACGATCACCAGTTTGATATATTGGCAGTCACAGAGTCTTGGTTGAATGATGGCATTAGTACAGAAGACCTGCACATAGACAATTACATTTTTTGTCGCAAAGATCGTTAAACTCACGGCGGTGGAGTGGGTTTTTACATCCGTAATTCTTTGCAATTTACACTCATTCCCTCAGGTAACGAAATTGAGCAGCTTTGGATGAGTGTCGAGCTAGGTAAGGTTAAATTTCTAGTAGGGGTAGTTTACCGCCAACACACTAAAGTTAATTGTCGCACATTCACGGAGGAACTAGAATCACAGCTATTATCTTTACTTCCAACGCATGATGAGGTCCTCTGTTTGGGGGACATAAATATTGATATGTCAAACTTAAATGACAATGATGCTTTGAGATGCAATGACATGATAGAAGGGATTGATATTAAACAACTAATGGATAAACAACTACACTCCGTTCGAATGCTAGCCCATGGTTAACAAGCAATACCAAATTTTTAATGTCTTTGAGGGATAAAGCTAAAGGTAGATGGAAACGGACCAGGGCTGTTGCGGATCATAACGAATATAAAGAATTAAGAAATTTTACGGCTCGTGTTATTCGAGACGAAAAGCGAGCTTATGTCAACTTTCGTATGTGTAGACCGGGGGATGCGTCCCCAGATGTCTGGAAACGTTTACGAAAGATAGGTATTTTGAAAAATAAGCCGTCGCTACCAGAAACCTTATCAAATGTCAATGATATAAATGATTACTTCATTTCCGCCCTGCCGCCAGCCACTACTTCACAACAATTGATAAATTCCTACTTAAATGATCGGAAAGATGGAGTAAATATTTTTGAATTCAAATTGGTCTCTCACTTCTGCTGGCGCGGACGGTGTGTCACAGTATTCGGTTCCTCACATTATTCCGTTCCTGACCCATATCATAAATACTTGTATTGAAACTAATACCTTTCCCTCTTTGTGGAAGGTGGCTAACACCGTCCCTATTCCAAAAATAAAATCTCCAATCTCCTACTACGATTCTGGAAATACAATTACGTTTGTTTTTATCCGAAAATAATATTATACCGGATCTACAATCTGGATTTAAACCTTTGCATAGCTGCGAATCAGCTTTACTGCATGTTTGTGATGACATCGTCCGCGCCTCTGACAGGGGCCTGGTTACAGTCTTGGTCCTCATCGATTATTCCAAAGCTTTTGATTCAATCGACATTGATACCCTTATCTCCATCTTGCATTACAGCAGTCTCCGTGAGAATTCCCTCTCACTGCTTTCCCAGTATTTAAAGGATAGGTCACAGAGAGTGATTCTGAATGGTCAATTGTCCCGTCCCGGTGGTATTCTGAGTCCTATTCTATACAATATATATACATCTACAATGTCAGAACGCTTAAAACATTGTAATTTTCACTCGTACGCTGATGACACCCAGATGTATTACTCGTTTCTATCTTCAGATCTTCAACGCGCCATGGGTATTATTAACAACGATCATCATATTAAATATTTTACAATTCTCGAGAGATCACTACAGCTACTGTCTTTGGCACGGATCATGCGCGCTCACTTTTAGGCCCAATAACCTTAGTTATAGATGGACAACATATTGAAGTACAAAATACGGTGAAAAGTCTGGGTGTAATAATGGACGGTCAGCTGTCGTTTACAAAGCATATCAATCTCACCATACAGAGGGCCTTCGCGGCACTAAAGGTGATTTTTAATAACAGGTTTTCACTAAATCAAAATACAAAAAAACTACTATGCGACCTACTAGTGCTGTCTAGATTTAACTATTGCGACACTGTTTATGGCGCTTTTTTGTCAGCGGTGGATGTGGGTAGAATACAGAAAATGCAAAAATCGTGTCTGAGATTGATATATGGTATTCGTAGCCGTCAACCTATATCGTACAAATTAAAAGAAGTGAAGTGGTTAAACATGGAGAATCGACGTTTATTGCATTGTTTATGTATGTATCACAAAATTATCACCAATAAGTCACCACCATATCTGTACGAAAAATTAACTTATCGTACAGATGTGCATAATCTCAATCTCAGACATAGAGGCTTGCTTGAAATACCTGCACACCGGATAGAGTTTTTTAAACGATGCTTCTCATATCAGNATAGCAGACCTGGGAGCCGCCGAACGTAGGGAAGCACAACGGACCGTAGCACCTCATCTACGTATCGTTGACCCGTCATGGTCTGCTATACACGCAGCAGACGTGTACGTCCACCATATGTAATCGCACCCCATACCATAATGCTCGGTTGTCGGTGGATAGGGCGTTCTTGCACACACTGCTCGAGTAGATGATCCCAACGGCTCCGACGAACTAAAATTCGCGCATCACCGGTGCTCAATTGGAATCTTGATTCGTCGGAAAACAAAATGTCCCTCTACTCGGCAACCTACTAATGCCTAGCGTCGACCCACTCGTGACGTATGCTGCGGTGCTCTGGTGTTACTGGAATCCGCTGTATCGCACGACGCGCGCGCAGTCCACTATCTACCAAAGGCCGCTGTACAGTTCGCGTAGTGAGTGCGTCTTCCGCTGCCGGTGGCCAAACAGCTCCAAGTTGCCTTGAGGAGGACACACACGACGCTAAAGCGCTGAGCACAAGAGTGCGATCCTCGTGTGCTGGGGATGCGCAGGGCCGTCTCGGCCGCAGCTAAAGGTACTGTAATAATTCGGAAATTATTTAATGGTTTTGGGAATAAACCATACGAATTGTATATTCCTGGCGTGCAGCCTTTTTCTTCTAAAAACCAAAAATCACGTCTCGCGTTTACGACCGACGTCCGGGATGGTGACCAGACGTCGAAATAAATTTTGAGAAAGATTAATGTACAAGCAAATTTATGGGAAAACGTAGATAACGAAAAAGTCGTTAGAAATACAATAGACGTTAGAAAACGTAAAGGTTTGATGGCTCCCACAGTTTGGGATTTACGTGATGATTTTTGGGATTAGCTAGTGGCGGATGTTATCTTCTGGCCCCGTGGTCAAAAATTGTTCCCTTCCCCAAATTTCCTCATTGGCTCAGAAAATTATTGTAAAACATCCGCCCCGTATTTTGGATTGGCCCAGGTGTCGGGAACATCCAGGCGATAGGAACGCCTCAAGAAGGTTTTTGCACCCCTCCAATACCCGAGGTTACTTAAGGGCTTGTAAGACCTTTTTCAAGGAATTACGAATTACGATCACAATCATAATCAGAATAATAATACCAATCACAAGAGGTTTTTGAGTCGAAACGTCGTCAGCGCTCCGTTGGATAGCAACTTAGAATTCGCTTTAACGCCAATTCTAAGTGTCGTCGTATATCGAGAACTGTGACTTCGAGGACTGTGTCGGTAATTGTGTTTCCACTGAGGATTTGGTGCAAGAGTGGTGTTGGAACCTTCCCGGTTAACTTCCGAGAAGCCACCAAAAAGGATCCAGGGTTGCGATCCATCGGCGTACCACCAAATCGGAATACAAGTCCTGAGTAAGTCTGTTTGCCAGTTTNTACCAGCCCTAAGTCTTATGCTGCCTGCGCCATAGCGGTTGTGCGTTAAACTTTGGGTCTACCAGTGTGTTGCACCTATCTAGTAAGCCACACCAGCGTACGCTACTACGCCTAAGGTGGCGCAATTGAGTTGACTCATTTTAAAGTTGGGTATCAGCGCACGTAACACACTGTACTGAGTTAACTCAATTGCGCCGCGTAGCGCAGTGTTACACATCTCTAATACATATATTGAGACCGAACAGCAAACACTACCGAAAACAGATTAGACCAGAATGGTTATAAGTTATAAGACTGTAAGAGTAGTATAAGAAATATAGTCATTTAAACAACAAAAAGAAATTGCGTTTGTATTTTTTGACGTTAATCCGGACATCTGAAAATTCCAACCGCACTTTACACCATTATAAATATGTTCAATAGTCATTTCAAGTAGTTCGGCAACTTCACTATCAAATTAGTGAGTGTTATCGTGGAAATAAAAATAGACAAAAAGTGAGAGTGGTAACTTATTTTTAAAAACCACTGAGAAAAAGAGTGATCTTTTACTATCATTTCTCAAAACCTTAAATTTACTCCCAACAGAAACGTTCTGATGAACGCATAATTAGAGCTGCTCAGTTTGTATTTAGCCATCATTAAAATGATAAAGTGCAATACCAATAACTTATTATCAAAAGTTGAACATATCGAAACGGAGTTATCTGACAAAACTACGCTCGTAGATGAAAGTGTTCAAAATTCCAAATTTAGTGAGATTGGATGCCTATATAATTCTTAGCAATATTGAATAAAAAAGTTTTTTTATATCTCTAATAGTTTTTAATATATAACGTGATATGTAAATTAATATTGACGAGTGTTATCCTGATATATCTTATATCATAGGCTACCTATGATGGACTAAAAATGTACTAATATAAAATAATAATATAATAGATCAGGAAGTTGGTTTAAATAAATAATAATTTATTGAGCCAAATTAGAAAAAACAAAATACAATAATAAGGAAAAGTACAATAATATTAAACTTAAATTATAGCTCAAAGGGTGCAAGGGCAGAAAAGGCAAAACAATGAAACTGATTTTACTTGCACCTAATGAGAACAGCAGCAGAAAATAAAATAAAAGTTAAATCAAATCAAAACTGAGCAGTATCAATGAAAATGAGATAATAAAAATAAAAACAAGTAGTTAGGATTATTAAATTACCAAAAGAATCAAAAGCAACATTATATCAATTATCTCAAAAACCGATCAAACACCCTCTCGCGCAAAACAATAGATCTAAACAACTGAACCGAGCGGGCACACCTCACAGAACTGGGAATCGCATTCCAAAAACGAGTTACTTGGTAGGAAAACGAGCACTGAAACTTTGACGATCTATGCAGCGGAACTGTAATACAAAATCCATGCCTAAGATTCAAATTATGTACATCAGTTCTGAAGGTAATTTTGCGAGAAAGATAAGGAGGTTTACCAGAATAAATAATCCCATGAATAAAAGACAAGTAATGAAAAACAAATCTCTGTCGCATATTCAGCCAACCACAATTCTGAAGAGCTTGTGAGACGTGATCACCTCTCCTCAANCTGCCGGTGGCCAAACAGCTCCAAGTTGCCTTGAGGAGGACACACACGACGCTAAAGCGCTGAGCACAAGAGTGCGATCCTCGTGTGCTGGGGATGCGCAGGGCCGTCCCGGCCGCAGCTGAAGGTACCTATGTCCTACCTCATACCATTCTCGCCATGCCCGTTGCACTGCCGATAACGACCGCTCAAGACGACGCGCAATTTCACAGAACGATACACCATCAATGTGCATCCCCGCAAACATTCCTCGCTCAAACTCACTTAAGTAACGCGATCGCTCATCCATTGCGCACAGAATACGATAACAATGTGGTCCCTCACACCACACTAAAAACGACCGGTATTTTCCATCCACTTCGGTCTCCATAGCGACGGAATGTTCCACTTGGAAGGGCGGCTCAATCAACAATGCCGCGACGGAACAACTCGAAACTCCCTGAATAAACTCGTCTACAGTAAACGTTTGTGCTCCGCAAATATTATGGATTTAACTTCACGCGTGCAGATTATATAGGGTGTGCTCGTGAATTATTTCCAACAGTGTATTTGGTGTTACCTAATAATTCTAGTAAAGGCGCATTGCTACATTTGCAAATCTTAAAGAGATTATCAATTCCTTTTAGAAGACTATTTAACATTTTCTCGGTTTCTTTAAGAGCTTTTTCTGCTTGGTCTGCCTAAAATGTAATTTTAATAATAAATTTTTAATTTTACATGTCAAATAAATCATAATTATGATGTTATTTTTACCTCTGCGTTTTTGTCATCTACTTCTTTTCTCAATATTTCCAATGTACTTTTTTGCTTTTCACATCTTCCATCTTGAATTTCTTTCTGTTGGTCTAAAATGTTTATTTAAATTTATATTTAATTTAATATTTTTAATCACAATGTTGATTTTTTGTTACCGATTTTAAAATGTAAATCCTGTAATTCATCACTTAAAAATTCCATTTGCTTATTCAACGCACTGATATAACTAAATAGCGCAAAGTTTTCTTCCTCTTGTTTTATAAAAGCGGCGGCGATTTCGCCGATATCTGTTAAATGCGTAAATTCGGTAATATTCGCCAACATTTCTTTATAAGCGGCGAGTTCTTTTTCTAATTCTTCTCTTTGCAACTCTCGTTTGTGTCTCTCTTTGGCTGCAAGATCGCGCATCACTCTTTTTTGTCCTTTAATACTTAAAAATGTTTCCAATTTTACATCATGATCCATCCTTCGTTCTAACTCACGCATTTCTTGTGTATGACTTATCAAATCGCTTTTAGCACGAGTACGTAAAGCTTGTAGTTTATGGCACCATTCTTCTCTTTGATCGTAAGCTATAGTTGCTTGTTCGATTAAATCAATCATGAATTTTTTTCCATGAGATAATGTTTTAATTACTCTTTCCCAAAGTTCATTAAAATGTGCTCTTTCGTGTAATAAATGGTCGATTTCAGCTCGTAGCTTGGTGTTATCAGTTAAAATTGTACAAAATCTTTTATTTGCTGTTTCTAATTTATTTTCTAAAGCTTCTAATGTTTTTTGTCCTTCTAGTACTCTTTGTTGGCATTGTTCATCGGAGACTTGTTTCGATTTAAGATCGATTAATGCTTTGGTAACCATCCATATTTGTTCTTCCATTTCTTCAAGATGTCCTTTCTCTTGTTTTATCAAGTCCTTTGCCTCCGAATGCTCGGAAAGTAATTGTTTTAGTTTCGTTACGGTAAGTGCATCTTTTCTAAGATTGTTTTCCGAAGCGGCTACGCAAAGATCCGTTAAAATTTCATGATGTTCCTTTTTTAATATTCGAATAACATTTCCTAATTTCGATAGTTTATTCCCACCCTCCTGCGCAATTTTTCGATCCCTTTCCAAAATTTGATACTGCCTTTGAAGCCTGAAAAGCTCAGCTTCAAGTTGAAGCTGCGCCTGGAACTTTTCGGCAGGTGTTAATTCTTTCTTTTCGTTCTTCATGGTATTATTAAATCGTCTGCAAAATTATGACATACAGTTACGACGGGAAACCGACAAATAATTTATTTGTCAATTAATGACAAGATAAAAAAATTGCCCGAAAATGAGTAAATCATATGTTTCACCAAGTGTTGAGTTGCGTCTTGCTAAAGCTAATGAAAAATCTTTGGCTGATAGTATTAAAAATTGGCCGGTAAAATGGGGTTGGCTTCTAGATGAGTACAAGGCGTTGAAGGATTCTTTGGATAAAATAACGGAAAAGTCGGTAATTGTTAAAAAAAAGGAAATAACAGATTTACGAAGATTGCTTCCTGTTCCAAATTCGGTAAACCACGAATATGGTTGGCTCAGTTCTAAACCGGAATTTAAATTGGAGATTTACGGACCTGACGTACCTAAACCACCACGTGTACCCGAATAAAAACAATACGGAACAAGAAATAATTTTTTTAATATCTATTGCTTTAGAAAGGGAACGACTAAATTAAAATGAGTAATTTAATATCTAATCTAATAAATTTCTCATGATAAAGTAATTTTTGTCTAAATTTTACGACATAAGATTTATCATTAAAACAAAATTACTTCCGCATTACGTGTGCGGGAATATTACATGTAATCTTTCCCAACAAACTTTTTATACCATTGATACAATATACCTTAAGAAATTTCGTAATAACAAAATCTCACAAAGTGAAATTGTGCATACAACAAACGAAATATAACGTGAGCACGCATGTAATGATGTCCTACGCGAAATTTGTAGAGGAAATAACGTCCCATATACATATTTGCTTTGTTTTGCTCTTCAAA